ATGCCAGTTTAATTTTCTTCAGAAGCGTTGGCAGCCACCCACCACGGAGCCCAACGAGGGGACGCTACAAGTTTGTGGATGCTAATACCTGCAGACGCCAGCCGTACAACGCAACTATAACCCAATGCGCCTAGACCAAGGTAGGCTATTTGCACAGGGTTAACCCTAGCCGCCAGGAAGTTTGGAAGTAAACGGAAGAGAGTAGAAGACAGGACAGATAGATAGTGAGAGATAAAGACGAAGATTGCAAAGTAGCCTGCCATGCTTTAAATGTGTATACGATGTTACATATCGCTCTGACCGTAGCGGAAGTTATCCGATTGTCATAAATATGGACTTCTTTATATCTGCTTCTACGCGATTGAATCTCACCGTGTCTCTATTTCCATATCAATTTGTTTCGAAAGCTAGAACTGGTCGATCAGAACTTGGCAAATATTCCGCATTTCACTTATTTGTGGCTGATCCACAAGCACGAGATATTAGATATTAGATATCGTTAGCGTGACGGCTTCAGGTACTGGACTCCGCTTTTAAAAACGGGTCTCAATGATTCAGTCCAGTGTTTGAAACATCTGGAATCACTGGCCAGCCACGTTTCGGGGTTCGGTCGGGGTGAACATGGTATCCGTCTCGAAAGTTTCGCAAACTCGTCCATTGTAGGGCTCTCATTCTTAACGATCAGAGTATGGAAGATAGTTCCGCCTCACACAAAACTTCAGATGCGGTCGAGAATTCGTAGAGTGTGCTGCGTCGCACCTCTTTCACCGCATATAAAATGTTGAATAATGTACGAGCTGTGACCACTTATTATTTCGAGCACCGAAAAAAAAGTCTGATAATAATGATGATGGCCACTCCTTGTCACTTCCAACGAACCGAGCTCACTAGGAAAACGTGCCAATAGATGACATATCTCGAAGAAGCTGTTAGACCAGGCCGTAGAACAAAATGCCCAAATCAAATATACGGAAGTAAGCAAGGCCCGCAAGTTTTCGCAACTACCGGGCTGCTTTCGGAGTTAAAATGAAACCCCTCTCCGATACTGCGTTCGCACACTTGAAACTCCCCAAGACGCGCCCCATTGACTTCATGCGCACGTCATTCGGTGACCCGCAGACAGCTTTGCTTAAATTGGCCTCCCAGACCTCTCCTGGTTACCTGGTTTTGTCAATCGTGACAAAATATGCAGAAATGCAAGGAATAAGTTTCGTCTCTGTTAGCTTTGTTACAACCGATTACACAATCGCGTATCAATGCATAACGTCCGTCCTTTGGAAGATGACCTACAAGTTGAGATAAAAGCACGTGCCTTGCGACACGACGACGCAGTGCAAGCATCTATTTCTACACCCACTCCTTCCCAGACGACCAAACAGAGGCTAAATGATCATCAAGATAGCAACACCGACTACAAAATAGTAGACGATAGACGCCTGGTGTCTAAGAAGAATTTACTAGTCACGCTGCTTGGGAACCACCTACAGCGGTTGCCACAGCATGGCGGCCTCGTCCGAGTATGCGTCGGATATGTTAGGCTAAAAGGATGCTTAACTGCCGAAAGGCTGGGCACCACTCCGATGTATGCGCTCAACCAAGGCACGGATGCCGCCCGCGTTGCGAATAGGACCACGAGCCGACGCCACAAAGATTACGACCAAGATGTCAATCGCTCTATGTCATCTATCAAATAGGGCTCATGATGATATGACGACGAACAGCTCAAGATGAGTATTGCTTCACAAAAAAGCGGTCACCCACAACTGCCGCTCAAAATAGACACAAATGACAGTTCCACAAAGTCAGTAGCAAGGCAGCCACGCTGGAATAGACGAGCACCACTACTCTACTCTCGGAACATCCCAAACAAGATGGACAGCCGGTCAAGGTCACGATCCCGCTTGCACCACGCAACTTCCCGGAACCGGAGGCCCTGTGCGTTAGGCATTATTGTGTTGCAAACTGCATTCGCATTAGCCTACCACCATGCGCCCAGAGAAAAATTCTGATCATCAAGTCGCACTCTGCATGCCAAATGATCGAAAGCGTCGGCAAGCCCTTCTAGAGTCAGTGGAATTCCACTGACGCTCACCGCCTCCACTTCCATCATCCCCCCCCTCCCGTCTGTCGCACTAGTGGGAGTCAACGCAAGACTCGTACGTAAGAAACCTTAGCCAAACAACCTATGCGTTGACGTCACACATGGCGATGCAACAAGCTCACGTCGGAATGTCGCTACAAAACAAACTGTCAAAGCCAGCTAGAACTTGCACCAACAAACTACACTGCTACAACGCACGACAGCAGTCAGACGTAAATGCATGACTTCTGCGGGAACGCTGCGAACTGAAATGACACGACTGGCGAGAACCGTTCAGATGGTCAACGCATCTTTGGCTGAAGCCCTCGGTACGTTGGGTGATGCCACAGTCGTAGACACCTTTCGCGCGTCCGTAACGGAAGCCTTAGCAGTCATAGATTCACACATAAAGAACATTGAGACACCACTCCCAACCTTTTAAATCACCATAAACAACGCAGCCGGTTTAGACGTACTCTGACTGCCACAGACGCTAGATTTACAGTTATCAAAAGGCATGTCCATTGCAACAGCCGACGTACGGAAGCGAGCGTCCTCTCACCCTTCAGCCCCGCACAGCGGACCCATGACGTCATCATGCAACACTCGCACTGATGCGTCGTGGCCAGCAGCCACTTGAATGTGTTGCAGTGGAACTGCAGGGACCATCTGCAGCTACTCGTTCAGGAAGGGAAACTACCGAATAATTGATGGCATGCAGGCGTCATCGCACAACAAGAAGTAGCGGCCAGCTCACTCCTTCGCTACAACGTTATTGAACAGTTCACCGGCAGGCTAAACCAAGAAGCCGCAAGTACGGGCACGCTCGACCACATGAGCACTCATCCATTGTCGTTGTCCATTGTCCATTGTGACATGATTTCAAAATACCGTACATTGCACACATGGTCGAGAAAATTCTTCCGCGAAAGTTCTCCCTTGAGTTGCTCTCCTCAGCGTATACTGCATGCCCTGGGCCAGAGCTGAAGACTTACGGCGTTTTTTTCTGGAAAAGCTACTCACTATCCCAAAGTGCTCGACTGCCCATACCAAGCGAGAAATTCCTTCTCGCACTACTAAACCACCCACAATAGCAGCTGACCAGCATAACACAATGTGTAGGGACACGTCGCCTAACCTCGCATATTGCAAGAATATTGCGCAGGCCAGATAGAAGAAACTTTGTCAGCTAGCGGGTACTGACCACTACGTCATTTCCATCATGATACAGGCGTGCCGGGCAAGAAACTACAGTACGCACTAGATTGAATTGGGGAGAGCCCTAAGTTAAGAGAGCGAAGGTGAAGCCCCAAGCCACAAAACGAAATTAATAGACTGGACTAAGTGACAATTCTGCAGAGAAAATGCCAGAATAAATAAAAAAGAACAACATTTCCCGCTAAGGCAAACCATGTGCAGATGCGAAGCAACAGGGGCTAATGCTTAGACCGGTGGTGACGTTGCACAGGAGAGAAACCTGGAGAGGCGAGAAGCACGCAGTGAAGGACCAGTGTTTCCTATGGAAATATACCAATCATCGCTAATGGGCAATGAGAAGCAGAAGACTCTGATTAGACACAGAGACCCACAGTCAACTTTTAGTAAACGCGCACGCTGCGATTTTTTTTTCCTCGACAACTTAAAGGAGAAATCTCCTGTCGGGACTACCTCGGAGGTCAAGATGCAGTGCCATTTAACGGTTGTGCAGCGTGAGCGGCCGGTTTTTGCACCGAAAGAAGCTCGCTGGCAGACGCTCCCTGCGTCGGCGTTGCGAGGAGAGAGAGCAGAAAAGCAGCGTAGAATAGTAGGGAGAGGGTAGTGGACACGTATGCACAGCAAAGGTGGTCACGTTGCACATTGTAGAGCTCGACTCTAAGCTGCTTCGCATCCAAACATTGTGCACTTCATGCAATCTCTCTTTCCTTAGGCAATCCGGGTAATAAAGCCATCCAGCAAAGCTCGAACACTCGGACGCCAAACGTTGGAAGTCGTGCACCTAAGCTGGAGGACTCGCATGCCTCCCCTTTCGCAACGTCGCGCACCTCTGAAAGCTAGAAAGGTAAACCAAAGCAATCTCGCACCCGAAACGTCACAAAACACTACAAATTAAAACATTAAAATTAAAACAATTAAATGATTCCTTTACCCGTACAAATATCGAACCATCTATTCAGCCCTCTGCACATCTACCTGAATCCGTTGGTAGGCACAGACCTCCACCCTATACATCATAATAAAAAAAAAGCATTTGTGACCCTAGCCCACCATATATCCCAGAACATTCACCGTCCAGTGAGGCCTCCAAGAGAACCCTTACGGTCATAAGCCTGGACGCTCAGCTGCTTGCCTACTGATCGAATAGTCGCAGCCAGTGCCGATAGTGGTCAATTCTATTGAGCGCTATTCAATGAGTGTGCGTTGCAGTGAATGGTATAATTTGCGGACGCCTGAATTCTGGCGATGTACTCGCCTTGGTGAAATTATGAAAGGCATTGATTGATGATTGATTGATTGATATGTGGGGTTTGTCCGAAAACCACCATATGATTATGAGAGCCGCATTTATGATAGCGACAGTTATCACAATTCTGAAAGGCAGTAGCCGAGCGTATAGTGAAGGAAGCGTCTTCCAGCACTTAATTTTTTCGAGATCGACATATATAGGGCTGGCTACCCAAAACAGTGTTTTGCAATGTTGCCTATCGTATGCCTAGCACTTGCCAAATAAGAATTAATTTTATACATATAATATAGAAGTAGATGCTTGCCACAGCACCTCATCAGCTCTTTCCTTACTAAGTGACAATGCTGCATACATAAGATGACATTTATATGAGCTCAGAAAGTATGTTGGCTTAAGTAGAATTCCAAAAGTGAGTTGTGCCATCACGAACACGATCGCCTGCGCCGAATGGTGCAGGTGTCCCGTTCACTCTCTCAAGACATGCAGCCGCACAAGCTGGTCATTCTGTGCCTGCGTTTCGCCTGCGCTTGGTGCCTGAAGATTTTCCAGGGGGGCAGCGATGGAGAGGTGATCTCGAAGGAGTGTAGACGTCGCTACAGGCTTGGTCATCTGGCGCTCATTACGCTTAACCGCCTCTCCATGTCTGGGAACCTTGCCTACCTGCGCCAGGTTCCTGAAGGAAACGTTTTCACCGAGATAGTCAGGTATGCCTAATCTGAGCCAATACGGCTCGATTATGATAGATCGTGTCATTAAGAAGTATCGCGGTCGGGCACATTGAATTTAACCTAAGCCGTATTACCGTAGTGGGTGAAGCACGCACGAAGAAATGTTCTCGTCTTCCGCGAGTTGCATCTTGGTTATAATGAACGCTACTCGTGAATGCATTCGGCTTGACGAACTTAGCTTCGGCGCAAATCTTGAGCGCCATGGAAATCTCCTGATTGGTCACCGTGGACCTAACCCAGTCAGGAAAGCTTTCTGTATTTCACGTGTGAAACTTTCAGCTTTTCAGTTGAAAACCCTTTTAGACTTAGGGCTTTAAAGGTTTACAGGGGCGCTGATGTGCTTTTTGACCGCACCACATGTGCATGTCCTCATCTTCGTAATTAAGCCTGTTTCACAGAGTTTGCGGCTGACCAAACAATATATCAGTGCAGAAATCAAGGATTGCCTTGAAAAGAGGTCGCGAGCGCGGATGTGCTTATCGATCATAAATGCAAGCTGTAGAACCAGGGACAATTCAAGGGGGCAACAATTTTGACGCTCTTCCCGGGCAACGCGTCGCAGGATTTACATCGAAAGGGGGAGATGAAGAGTTCTTCACCATTATTCGTCGCTACGAGGACATCTTAACGGTCATCCTGACAGAGTGGTCGGGCGTGGACACCATCCAGTGCCAGCTCAAAACGGACCGCATGGACGAATGGTTCCTCCAGCTTATGGTCACTGGAAGCCGGTGGGCATTGGAGCGCCTCAAGGACATCGTCGTCTACCCGTCATTCCGAGAGGTGCTCGCACTCGTCTTCAAGCGGCAGATATCTCAGTTCTAAAGCAACGTCTAAACGCCGCCATAATTTTGCTCGTAAACTGTTTTCGTGCAGGTGGCCATCTGACACTTATTAACTTTACGGTTTTATTGTAATAAGATATTTTGAACAAAATATCCGCGCCGAGCCCATGTTCGCTTAAGTGCGCTTTCGGCGGGAACTTGGTGACGTCTCTCATATGAGGTGGAATTCGAATACACTTGGCTAACTACCATTTACTCAATTTCGAAGGTATTTCAAGACATTGGCACTCACCTGTTTCCAGTGTCCTCTCAATGAGGTACTGGAGCTGCTGGAAATGTCTCAACACAAAGTGTCGACAGCTTTCAACTTGTATGACTTCTTTCAACTTGTTTGTATTTTTTAAACTTGTATGACTAGTCACTTATGCTTGTCATGCAGTCATGTTGTGCCGTACTAATTTTGGTACAGATCCCATCATCAAGACGGCCAGGAGAGCTAAATGTCCAGGACGGCTAGGTACATAGATGGAACAATACGGTCGAAGTCGTCGAAGTGTGCCAAAAAATGCGTCGCATTGAAAAGGAGGGATGCTCGAAAGCCACGGATCAGCGATACGCTCATTCGAGAAGCCTACAGTTATTCGTCGACGGTTGGCCGTAATAGCATCATCTGGCCACATATCACTTTCACACACAACACCATGAAAGGACACATTTTCAAACCGCGTCCACTTGCACCACCTGGTGTGCTTTCGAACGCACCCAAAATATTGTGAGGAACCGGTTTATTCAGCCAGGCTTGAGCTAAATCATGCTGGTGATGATATTTTCAGATGAAGAAGATGTACAGGTGATGATTTATATCAAAGAGAATAAAGAGTCATTCGCTTGTCGCGCTCACACCAATTCCCCGCGCGGTGAAAGCGGCCGCCTGGTCGCTTGACAGTATTATGAAATGCGTCGCGCATAAGGCTTTAAACGAGATACGTGCACTTCTCTGTTCTCGGCAACGATAATCAGAACTAGCGCTAAGAGGAGAAACGCGATAATTGACAGGAGATGTCTGTTCGACTACCGTGTACGCCCAATGAAGCGACTGATGAATTCGTCGCATAGGCCGGGACGCGCAGTGGGGTCCATAGAAGAACCGGCAGCAGGGAAAGAACTTTGTCACCAGGCAGCCCCGAAAGTAAACTTCGTTTTATGATTAACGGCATAACTACGAGAGAAAAAATATCAACTTCACCAACATGGAGGCACAATTTCGTCACCTGTCATTTTCGAAAATTGCAGATGCTATAAAAAGACAAATTATTTTGTTTCAAGCAATATATTTTTACATGAAATAGATGTCTAATTAGAAGGAATTTCTACGGTTTCAAGTTTGTAGACCTTATAAAAATAGCTTTTAAAATGTCTAGCTTGCGACAGATTAAATTAGTTACGTATCCATATTTTTTTCTCGAAGTAATGCAAGCAGCCCGTTTCAAACTTGACACGTTTCAAGGATATAGTATGTTAATTAGGTACATAAATTATTGCAGCCGTAGGGCAAATGTAAATTTTTATATATTGCCTCAAATTTCTCATATTGGCAAAAGTGTACTCCACTGAAATTAAATAATAAAAACACCATCGTCGATTTTTCTTAAAATCTCGTAAATAGACAACCGAAGGCCATCATACAGTAATATAGAAAAACATGTTGCATTATTTTGTTTGTAGCGACAATATTCGTGGTACAAATAAGAGCTTTTCGAGAATGCGCTGACAAATTGAGAAATCTCGAAATCGGAACGAAAAAGTGGCAATAAGCTTCAAACGCGAGTAAACGTGACCGCATTTGGTGAAGAAAGGCTGTTTTAGCAGATAGGAGTAACTATTTCGAACACGGTATTTTACAGTATCGGAATTCACTCTTATACGTAGAGCACTGGAGACTTATAATGTGGGTGCCCTCTCCATTACTGACACACAGATGGAGCTGCTGTGACGGCCATGTGTTTGCAAAACGGTTGGGTAAGAGATTGAATGTTGAATGAGTTTCATAACGATTCATACCAATCTTATTTGGGGCACGAAGAGTGCCGCATTAGACTGAAGAACACGCTTTAGGGCAAGTTGTCATCCGTCGTCTGCTCTACAAATGAATTGCTGTGCGCCGCATCTCGGAGGCAATGCTTTAGATCACATGGTTCAAAGTAGGGACAAAGATTACACCTCCCGTAATTTTATCGACAAAAAAATTGCCCGCAGCTTCCCTTGGGGGAACACTGAGGAGGATGCGGAGCATATAATTGGTTAACGGGGTGTTAAAGTGCGACTTACTTGGCACACACGACGTAGTCGGCATAGTCGGTGCCCTTTCCAAACGTATCGCAAAGAACCGACAACGCTTTGGAGTTGTTCTGAATGTTGCCAATCCGAGTTAAGTTGTTATCGAACCAAAGACGATCACACACCTTGCAGGTGTGGCCGAAGCTTCGGTCGAGGAAGTCGCGCTTGAAGCGAGCGTTGGGCGTGGCATACTGCTTGGCGCGCCACGCCGCTACCTCGGCGCGCTTGCGCTCGCGGGCAGCGTCGGGATCGGCCTCTCGTCGCCGACGCTTGCACTCGGCTTCCCGTTTTCGAAAGTACGGGTCCTCTTGTCGACGCTTACGTTTCAAAGCGGCCGAATCCGGTGCTGCTGCTCGACGCTGACGTCTTTCAGCGGCTTCACGTTCTCTAAGTTGAGAATCTTCCGCTCGACGCCGACGTTTACGTTCGGCGTCGCGAGCTCTTCTCCGCGCTGCCTTGTCTTCGGACGACGACTTGGTTGCGGTTCCGCCAACACTTTGGCCGGCGCTGGTCGAAGGGACCTCGATCATTGTGACCTCGGACGTCGACGCGCCGTACAAACCAACCGACGAGCGGCAACTGAGTGAGCGAGCACCGACCTTGAGTATATATACAGCGCGACGGCGCATGCACTGTCAGCTGTCGAATGTTCGAGAAGGGGGAGAAGCGCAACGGCCTGGGAAGTCAAGATCGAGTGCCATTGAACGGTTGTGCAGCGTGAGCGGCCGGTTTTTGCACTCAAAGAAGCTCAATGGCAGACGCTCCCTGCGTCAGCGTTGCGAGGCGAGAGAGCAGAAAAGCAGCGCAGAAAAGTAGGGAGAGGGTAGTGGAAACGTATGCACAGCAAAGGTGGTCACGGTGCACACTGGAGAGCTCGACTCTAAGCTGCTTCGCATCCAGACATTGTGCACTTCATGCAATCTCTCTTTTATTAGGCAATCCGGGTAACGAAGCCGTCCAGCAAAGCTCGAACACTCGGACGCCAAACGTTAGAAGTCGTGCGCCTAAGCTGGAGGACTCGCATGCCTCCCCTTTCGCAACGTCGCGCACCACTGAAAGCTAGAAAGGTCAACCAAAGCAATCCCACACCCGAAACGTCACAAAACACTACAAATTAAAACACTGATTCCCTTACCCGTACAAATATCGAACCATCTACCCAGCCCTTTGCATATCTACCTGAACACGTTGGTAGGCACACACCTCCACCCTGTACATCATAATCAAAGAATGCATTTGTGACCCTAGCCCACCAGATATCCCAGAACATTCACCGCCCAGTGAGGCCTCCAAGAGAACCTTTACAGTCATAAGCGGACGCTAAGCTGCTCGCCTGCTGATCGAATAGTCGCAGCCAGTGCTGATAGGGGTCACTTCTATTGACCGCTATTCAAAGAGTGTGCGTTGCAGTGAATGGTATATTTTGCGGACGCCTGAATTCTGGCGATGTACTCGCTTTGGTAAATTATGAAAGGCATTGATTGAAGACTGTGATGACTGATTGATTGATATGTGGGGTTTGTCCCAAAACCACCATTCGATTACGAGAGACGCATTTTTAATGCGACAGTTATGACAATTATGAAAGGCAGTAGCCGAGCGTATAGTGAAGAAAGCGTCTTCCAGCACGCAATTTTCTCGAGATCGACATATATAGGGCTGGCTACCCAAAACCGTGTTTTGCAATGTTGCCTACCGTATGCCTAGCACTTGCCAAATAACAATTAATTTTCTACATATAATATAGAAGTAGATGCTTGCCACAGCGCCTCACCAGCTCTTTCCTTGCTAAGTGACAATGCTGCATACATAAGATGTATACCGCTCATGGATATGAGCTCAGAAATTATGTTGGCTCGAGTAGAATTCCAAAGGTGAGTCGTGTCATCACGAGCACTATCGCTTGCGCCTAATGGTGCAGGTGTCCCGTTCGCTCTCCCGAGACATGCAGCCGCACAAGCTGGTCATTCTGTGCCTGCGTTTCGCCTGCGCTTGGTGCCTGAAGATTTTCGAGGGGGCAGCGACGGAGAGGTGATTTCGAAGGAGTGCAGACGTCGCTACAGGCTCGGTCATCTGGCGCTCATTACGCTTAACCGCCTCTTCATGTCTGAGAACCTCGCCTACCTGCGTCAGGTTCCTGAAGGAACCGTCTCCACCGAGATAGTCAGGTATGCCTAATCTGAGCCAATACGTCTTGATTATGATAGATCGTGTCGTCAACAAGTACCGTGGTCGGGCAGATTGAATTTAACTTGAGCCGTATTACCGTAGTGGGTGAAGCACGCACGA